GTCTTTTTCCTCACCCTTAATGTGAAAGTAAATTCTCTTGATATATGATCCAAACAAGGTGAAATAACATCTCATTAAGGGTTTATGTTTGTGTCCCAGAGAGCTTCACCATAAAAACATCAGCTTGGTCAACAGTGCAAAGTCAAAGATGCTCTGTAGGCAACCTTAACATCACATTTATTCATCTCTCGTGTTTTCAGCGTCTGAAACCCTCCATGAAACCAAAGCTCTCGCTGGTTTGTTTCATGTGTTTAGGTTGGAAAGACTCAACATTTCCACTGTTGTGGCACACAGTAGCATAATCACAAGCCAATCACGTTGCTCTGACACTGATCCCTCCCACATGCAATGATTTAATTACAGTGAATCATTTTACCTCGCAGTCAAAACATCAGCCGAGTGGATTCACCAGAAAATGCTGTTTGTGCTTAATGTGCTGATGATGCTCAGAGCGGGACGTAAGTGTACTCTCAAATATTCCTACACATGTAAAGAACTAAAGTTTAACGTTGAAGAAGAGAGCATGCACAAGTCTGTCATCTCTTATATTTATGTGACAGAATGTCTTTTCAGGATGCATGAATCATCCGTCCTTTGATGAAAAGACTGCTGCAGTCGGAGACGAGGTTGAAATGAAGTGTAAGCTTGACTCTACAGGAAGCTATTTCTGGATCCGCCTCGGTTCTGGAAACTTTCCTGAATACTTAGGAAAAGCAAATGGCTTGGATGTGAAGAATTCACGCATTACAACTATGGAACAACGAGATAAGGGAGGAGAATTTATTCTGCGTATGAGAAAAGCAGAGCTGAGGGATACAGGATTTTATTATTGTATGAGAACAAATCAACGAAACTTGACTTTTCTGACAGGAACAAACCTGACAGTTAAAGGTGAGCTAATTATAATTTACACTAATTTAGCTATTTGTAAAAGATTGTGTTGAGAGTTGACAGAATTACATTTAAAAATCAGATTTGAATCTCCCAGCAGCACAACCTGGAGACGCTGCAGTCCGTCCTCCTGATCCGGTCGGTCCGGGAGACTCAGAGAAGAAGCAAACCTGTCCAGGAGAACACAGTGCGTGCTGCTTCAGAGCCGGATCACATCAGTCTCATCCAAGATGGAATTTCACTCCAGAGAACAGTGTTAAAGGAAGTGAAAGGAACCCGGCTGGAGTCTCGATAAAGAAATGTATTTGCAGTGTCACTCAGAACTTCAGCTGTTCTGGTGAGGGGACTTACTTCTTTGCTGTGGACACGTGTGAGGAGAAAACTTCTGGAAACAGATCAGACTCGGCCAAACAAGGTAAATGTTTCCTTGGTGTTTGAAATGATGAGTTCAGTGCCCTGACTTGTATTTACCTTAGTCTATGAAATAAGCCTTATTTTGGACAGTCGTCCAAACAAGACGAGCCTTTAGGTTCAGGTTCACTGACTTTATTGGTACCACTTAGGTTGCAGTGAGAATCACATATACTTCATAAAACACAGATGATACATAAAACAAATGCAAAGTGCAAATGCAAGGTACATTGGTAAAAGTGCAGCAGTGCATAAAGTGCAGTTTCTAATCGTACAATTTGATAAACAAGTTTATATGTAAAAGTTACTGATTGTAAAACAGTGTAACCCGTAACCCTAACCCAACAAATATATAATAATTTGATAAATAAATGAAGCATTAAAAAGCATGACATCAGCTTCCCAGCATGCTATCTCTGTCCCTCCATACAAGATCTTCATGAAATTACAACAACCACATCAAGCAGCAAAGAAGAAAAGCATCATACAGAGATATCCTTCGACTTGTTCTGCGTAATAACGGCTGCTGGGGGTGCTGGTGGTGGAGTGGATGGTGTGCGTCCCCCATGTGTTGGGGCTGTGGGCCTTCGGACAGCACACTGGGTTCGGGTCAGACCTGAGACTCCTTTCCCACGTGTCGTTTCCCTCTCTCTTTCTCTTTTCTTTTCAACTGTCCTGTCTCTACATTAAGGGGCACAAGGGGCCCAGAAAGAAATCTTTCAAGAAATAAAACAAGTTAGCTATTATTATTTAATTCTTTTTCAAACAAACTCTCCTGCACAGAAGATGGAAAATACTAAAAAAAATTGTAAATAGCAACCAAAAAGAATATTGTGGATATCAAAACAAATTAAGTTACTAATGAAGAATTTTCTTTTGGTTTTTAAGATGGCATGGCTGGTATGCACACGAGCACAGGTTTAAGTTAATCTTTATTTTCTCCTGATTTTGTATCCACTAACTATCAACACTAAATGCATGAGGGCCTGTAATTGAGACCTGGCTTCATTTGTCAAAACATGCAGCTACAGCAGGCTAGTTAAAGGGACGGGGCTTTAAACTGCAATGTTTAAAGCTTGATCCAAAGGCAACTGAAGTCTTTGATAGACGGCGTCCAGAGGGTGTTGAGTTGAGGCTGCAGTATGTCTATAACTCCCAATTCCACATACTGTGTGCACGCCCACAGTCTTCATTTGTTTCTGAATAGAAAGCCGACATTTTGTCGCAACTCGGAGACAAGTGTCTCACATGGAACGCTAATTGTTCAGAATCTGCATACAATACAAATAGTGTCGTCTGCATAGAGATGGGCATGACAACCATTCAAAGAAGAAACAATATCGCTTGTGTCATAAAATTTAGAGAGGACATTTCCCCTTTACTACCTTTTCAAACAGTCCCCTGTGGTCTAAATGAAACATCTGTGCTGTGCTTTGGTCAAAATATAACATGAATCAAGCACCAGAGGAGGTTTGTGACCCTGTAAAACCAGCTCTCTCAGAACGCTCCGTTTTGGTGTTGTGTCTCTTTAAATGCAATGAGCCCCCCCTGAGTTTTCCCAGTAGTCATCACTCCTCTGTAGAGTGGCGGACCTGCTCAAAAGTTTTGTTCTAGTCTGGGGGTGGAGTCCATGGGTGGAGATACCAGCGGATTGGAGGTTATTTTTTTTATCACAATCCCACTGTGACATCACAAGGAGAGCACATTAGAAACAGAGCATTTTTCTCTGTGTTGTAAGACTTATGCAGACCACAAACAAAGGACTGGATGGGTTTATTTCACATGTTGTGGGTCAGTAGACTCTCAGGTTACCAAATATATGTTCAAAAACACTGAACAAGTGAATTTTTCACAGCATGTCCCTTTACATGAGTCTTAATCACTGATTACTTACTTTGATTCTTTGCTTATTTTTGTTCCAGCAGTGAAGGAGGACTCAAAGACAGACCACCTGTTCCTCCTCCTGTTAAGTGCTGCTTTGGCTATATGCCTCATAATTATCGCCTTTCTTATTTATTCGATAAGAAAGCTCAAGAATGCATCTTGTGGTTGTTGCAATGGTAAGCAGAGTCCCTAGTACATCAATCAATTAAACGATTAAAGACGAAACTCAGTCTGTGTTTTTATTTCATGATACAGCTGACGTCGCTCTGCAGGGACGAGCAGAAACAGCCAGTGGTGATCAGCAGAATCAGCAGGTAAGTAAAGCCGAGAGAAGATGTCATGTAAATTGTCAACGCTGCTATCCCCTAACAATCCTCTTTTTAATTATTTAAGGTGGATGAGGACTCGTTGATTTATTCCGCACCAACCTTCACGAGCAGGAAATCTGGCAGAGCACGAACAAGAGATGTACAAACCGAGGAGAAAGAGAGCATCTATGCCCACGTCAGGATTGTCGAGGGGAAATGAAACTCTAAAAAAACTATTTACGACTTCGCTATGGACTGCTTGTGCCGTTTTTTGTCCGCGCTCTTTGGGGGGAATATTTGATTTGCAGGAGAAAGATGAGAATAGGCTTCCTTTTTGAATAACTTAAAGACGTGTTTTACTGCATTCATTTACATTTTTGTTGGGAAAATGAAACCCAATGATTCAAAATATCTGTTTTGTTTTCAGCAATAGACCCACAGCATAGAGAGCTCGTGTCCATGACAGCTTGTTTCACTGAGATGTGTTCACAGAGGTTAATACTAAGTGTTAATATGTTACCTTCTTCCATCGCCCACGTCTACACATATTTGTCACAAATGTTTACATTAAAATATGTTGATTAATTAAAGATTAACTAAACCCATGTTATATACATTTTATTGTTGAGTACTTGCATTACCTCAAATTTTTCCAAAAGTTATCAAAGCCAGGGAATCTGTAATTTTATAGTTGACATGGTCCGTGTCTTTTAGGCGACCGCCATGACAGACACGAAATGTTTATCGTTGTCAAGGAAACACCAGATGTTACGCCAAAGACCGCTGCATAAGCTAGCGGGAGCTGCTACTGAAAGCTGTCGTACTGTTGCTGTATGTGCTGCAGTGATAAAAACGTCATGTAAATTAAACTCAGATACATCATTGGAAAAACATATTCTCTTTTTCAGGTCGGTTTACTACGATCAACACAGAGTTCATTTTCACCAGGGGGAGGGGAAGGGGGAGTAGCAGAGAGAATCATTCCCATGATTCCCCGCCGGCTTCGACATTATCTTTTCTTATTGTTTTGATTGAGAGCCCCCTGGTGGCGGATTTTACATACTGTGCGTTTAACAGCACTATGTGCAGTTAACGACCTTTGGTCGGTGCCAAAATGGACCAACTAATTTCCTACATATTGTTGCTTTAAACAACTGGGCCTTGTGGATGAAAAGTTTGAATTTGAAGATATATACTTTATTCTTCCCTGAGGTAAATTCTGGTGTTTACACTCTGTTATTGAGAGACAAACATAGGCCTAAATGACACACATGCACAAACAGGACCTGTGGACATGCACTAGTGGAGAGATGTCAGACACACTGCTATGCAGGGAGCGCACCAAATGCAAATGCTCATTAGCTCTGGTTCATGTAAGGTCAGTCTAAAAGGGAGCATTAGTTCAGCCTGACTTTTAAGACCTCTGAAGGATAACGATTTAAGAATCCTGTTCTTTAAATAAGCCACCCTGTTTATCTTCCAATATGTAAAAGATGTGAAGTATCACAGATGAGAACTGGAAACAGCAACTGCTGCTTCAAAGGAAGAAGCAATCACCAAGGGAAGGAAAGTGTGCAAAGGTCACAATCGCTCGTCTTTGGCTAAAAATGATGTAAGAGCTGTAATATGCTTCGCCAAGACCAGGCTGACACCTACATGACAGGATGTTCACTTTTTGTATGTATTCTGTGGTAACCAATCAGATCCATTTGACTGGTTTGACACATGAGCTTCATTTCCTTCACTTGCTGATGAACCAACACATTATCAAAGAAGAGACCGAGTCAAGATGAAGCTGTTTTGGGTTACTCTGCTTCTTTTTCAGCGAGGATGTAAGTAATCGTTTTCTCATTCTCAGCACGCCAACTGGAACCATCAGCAAGAATACACATCGTTCTCTGCATTTAATTCTATGTGTTTTGATTCATCCAGGCACACATGTTCCAGTGACCACGGTTCAACTCGGTGAACCTGCGACCTTAAAATGTGCTCTGCCCAAAATCGAGATCAGCCACCGAGAACTGAGCTGGTACAAGCAGAGCAACGGGGATACTCTGACGTTAATGGTGACTGTGCGGAAAGCTATAAAACCCATCTTCTCACCAGAGTTCTCAGAGTCAAGATTTGAGGTCAAATATGACCACGACTCCAACAACCTGACCATCCTGAGAACGAGTGAAGAGGACGAGGGAATGTATCACTGTGCGGTCACTGAGTGGATCAGCAAAACTGAATGGAGCGGAACTTATTTGGTCGTCAAAGGTAACCATGTGATATATTTTTACACGTTTTACACGTTCAGAAGACGCTGATCTAAATCTGTGCTATATAGATGTGAAAAAATCTGCCCCTAATTATCTTATATTGACATCCAATATCACCTTCAGCAGCTGCAGCCCTGTTCATAAATATCAAATATGAAATCCAGTTTCCGAACTTTAACCCTTTAATAACACAAAACCTGATTTGAGAATACTAACAATGTGCACATGACAGGATCAGCAGAGAGATAATAAATGTGCTAAATGTAGCTTTACAATATTTTTATAGTTTGTTAAAACCATTCTGTATGTGAAATATACTCATTTGTCTTAACTGGAGTTCCATCGATGTTCGAGTGGTCATAACTCGGATAAACCAGCTCCACATTTACTCCATTTCAGTGCCAATCTGCCGAGTTTGAGTACAGTCAACCTTTTCTGCTGATCCTCATTTTAAACTCACATTAGTGTTACAATGCTGGATGCCCAAAGTAAACATGGGTAAAGTTTCAGATCAAGCATCTACATAAGCCGCTGAAACCTCTTACATTTACTCTCTTCTCCAAGCAATGGAGAACAGCCCTCCCCTTGCAGCCCTGCAGTGTTCTGCCCCCTAGAAGTCTTATAGAGAGCTGGCCAATCAGAAGAGAGTGGGCACTTGGGGAGGGGGACCTTAAAGAGACAGCAGCTGAAATGAAGCGTAAAGGCAGAGGCCCAATTCGAGGCTTGTTGTTTCCGTTACTTTATTACTTCAAACAGCAGGTGTGTGGTCTCATGGTCTCGCTGAATCGTCTCGTGTGTCAGAGGATTATGAAATGAAAAATGAGTCGAGACTGTCCTCATGTCTGTGGTCTCTCAGCTTTTTTATAATTAGATCAGATTTGAAAATATTCTGGTATAAAGTCAGCTCTATGCCATCAGAGCAGACCTTTTTTTTTCTACATGAAACAACGTTTTTCTGTTTTGACCTCCTGGTCTGTTGGTTTCATGCAGGAAACACTGAGAGGACAACAGAGCTGAGAGTCGTTCAGGAGCCGACAGTCTCTGATCAGCTCCGTCCAGGAGACTTGATGTCTCTGCAGTGTTCAGTCCTCTCTGACCCGGACAGTAAAACGTGTCCCGGAGGTCACAGCGTGTTGTGGTTCAGAGCCGGATCACATGAATCTCGTCCAGACATCATCTACACTGCTGGAAACAGACGTGATGGATGTGAGGAGAGATCTGCCTCTCAGAAAAGCTGTGTTCATCACTTCTCTAAGAACATCAGCTCCTCTGATGCTGGGACTTACTACTGTGCTGTGGACACATGTGGACGCCTTTTATTTGGAGATGGGACCAAAGTGGACGTTGAAGATAACAGTATCAGTAAAACAGATTCAAGTGCCTAATTATGGCTTCATGGATAAATTGCATTTAACAATTTAATTTTAAAATCTTGTAATCAGGACGTTTTCTTCTAATTCTGTTTCAGGGAAGTTTTCACTGAAGGAAACCACAGTTACTTTTCTGCTCTGTGCTGCCTTGGCCCTCACGCTCATCGTTATAGCCTTCCTTATTCATGCCATCAAGACAAACAACAACGGTAATAAAGATTACTCTTGTTTCATTTTGATAAAATAATGTTTGATTAAATGTTTCCTAATCTTTTTTTTGTCTCTCTCCTAATTTCAACATCTGATGCTTTGGGAGAAAACTGTGATGTTTGGAGAAGACAGATGTTGGAGAGTTTAAAGGTAAGATTAAAGTTTATAAAACTACTTTTCTGACTTTATATTCATGTTGATTGTTCTCATCTCCTTCACTGTGTTGTTACAGAGAGATCAGGTTTATTCTGCCGTCGTCTTTACCGTGATGAAATCAAAGAAAGGAGCAAAAGCAGCGGAGAAAGAGAGGATCTACGCCGCTGTGAAGGCTTTTGAGATGGATCAGTGATTCAATAGGGTCTGCTTTTTAGCACTTAGTTCTGCATGGTCTACATAACAGTCGTCTTAAGATTCAAAGGGTGTAATGGCCTGTTTGATTGTTCTCAACATTTTATAAAGCATTCTGATTCACAATGTGCTGCAACATTTTAAAGACACACTTCTTCCTAAAAGTAGACAGCAGAGTATTTTCTGTGGTAGATCCAAATAGATGAATGTACTCTTAATTAGGGGTTGCACCTTCTTATTTGTTCTCTACTCCCACACGTCCTGTGCTGGGTTGCAGGAGGTCGAGAGACGCTGTTTAGATTGTTTTTTACAGTGTTTTTACTTGTTTGTCTTCAGTGTACATTACATAGACTGTAAATGTTACTTCACAAAGCACGGAGGGATGTCACCCGTCTGTTCCTGCAGGGGGCGCTGGAGTCCCATCGATGGCGGTCTCCATGCTGGAAATGCTGTCTCAGTCTAACTTTCAGTCAACCTAACGACAGGCTGAGAGCTGGAGCTGAGGCGGGTTTTAAACCTCCTGACAAACCGTTACACCGCGCCCACCTGTCAATCAGGTCAGCTACACGCCTTATTGTGAATAACTCTTATCCTTCATCAAATCAAAACTGATGAGTCATCAAAACATTCACCCCCCGTACAGTGTGTGTCCATCCAGACATGAGCTAATCACACCTATTTGGTTTTTTGAACCAGGCTGTAAACATGTTCATCTCTGCTGTAAAAACAGGCTTTTTAGAATGGGTGTGTATGTGACTTCCTGTGTTCCTGCAGCCAGCCTCTAGTGGACACTCCAGGAACTGCAGGATTTTATACTTCAGCATCAGCTTCATTTTTTAACACCAGAGGATACCGCTTGGTGCAGCCTCAAACTGTTCAAGAGGTCGCAGGGTTAAAAGACGGCAGAGGTTGTTATAAAATGATTTAATGTTTAATTTGAAGATGATCTGAAGCTTAAACTCTGTAAATAAATAAACATATGTTTCAATAACTTGTGGAAGATCAGATCATTCCGTGTGTGTGTGTGTGTGTGTGTGTGTGTGTGTGTGTGTGTGTGTGTGTGTGTGATAAGTAAATCTTCTTGCTGATACAGTCCTTGATATTATTGCATGCTGACAGGTCTCATCTGATTGCAGGTTAAACATTCTGTATTTTCTTTTATACTGCTTGTGATTTTTTTTCATGATTATTTTGTTAAAAAAAGATGTTGAAATGTGGATTAAATTAAAGTTAAATCCTCTATTATTTAAAATACTGAAAGGATCTGCAGTAAACAAGCACTCATGAGGTGAAAGCCTGGTCCTGGTGGAAATCAAGAAGAGAGAGAGTAGGGTATGACATGCGGGAAAGAAGCCACAGGTTCGGAATCGAGCCTGGTCCGCCCGCTTGGAGGACCATGGCCTCTATACATGGGACACGCGCACTAACCACTGCCCCACCTGCTCCCCACTTTTTTGTATTTTGTATTTTAAACGAGTGTCAAAGTTGGAATTCAGACTTCAGAGGGGCGTTCCTGATGACGTATCAGTAACTCGGAGTTTCCGACTTCCTAGATCAAATTGAACGCACCATCTGTAGTCAGAAGACTAGAAAAGGTTATACGACCTCAAGTCTTACACTTCCTGGTCAATTCGTCATACGTCATTTCCTTCCTTGTGTCCCTGAGCCTCGAATGGTCTTTGTGAACTTCTGTGTTTTAGTTCCCTGTGTTCGGATTTTGATGGACTTTGTTTGTACCTTTGCAGAGTAAGTTTAGTATTTGCATTTTGCCTTTTTGTAAAAATTAAATCTTTAGTTTTCGTATCTGCAATTTGGTCCCACTCTTTGTTTTTCCAGGAACTGTCAGTCTATGGCGAATTTGCACCACGTTTTTTAAAAAAGGCTTTAAATATCAGAATGATGGTATTTAATACAGTTGGAGTTTTATATAGTCAAATTTGGTTGTAATAATAATACTTATCCTAAATTAATTATGAATATAAATTAAAAATATTATTAACCAAGTTTAATTGATTTGGGGCACCACTCTGAGATCAGAGAACAAATAACCAAATATCCCCAACATCAGTCTCAAATTATTTAATTAATTACTAATATAATTAATAATTAATTATCTTTATTTAATAAATTGAAGGCGTGGAATCCGTACACAAGCCTTCGCACACAGCTTGTATCACAATGCAAATACACCAGCAATCACAAACAACTGCTCTTTAAATTATAAAAGAGTTTATTTAACAAAGCCACATCAAGTCAATCAATGCACACAGATGCAGATGAGTTTTGATGGCGGCGACAGTCCCTTACGGCAAGAGTGGCGTTGATGTGTTCTCCATTCGAGTGGGAAGACGTACGTTGATGTCCTTTTCGTCGCAGGGTAGTCATGATGTCATGGACACTCCTGGAAGTTGTCTTCCAGATCAGCCTGAGTTTTTCTCGTGTGGATGCATCAGGTAAATCACAGAGGCACAGGTTGATCTCTCCGAGGTACTCATCGATGCAGCAGTTATCTGGATCAAACCGCTCTATATCCTTTGCCATAGATTCCATGAACCTTGTGCGCATTCTTTGAAATCTGGGTAATAAGGCTCATTGCAAGTCTTCTGATGATTTGATATTCCTCAGCTGGGGGCTGAGAAGTCACCCCATTTCCCATGTGGTGATTCAAACCTGTGAAGGTGTGAAAAGATGTCACAGTTGGGGCATTTTCCAAAAACTATCTCGCCCACCAACAAAATCAACTAACCCCTAACCCACCCACAACACTCACTCGCCAGCCCTCAAAACCAACTGGGCAACCCACAAAAGCTAGTGACCCACCCAAGAAAAACAACTAGCCCACCAACAAAACCAACTGGCCCACCCAAAAACAAACTAGCCCACCAACAAAACAAACTAGCCCACCAACAAAACCAACTGGCCCACCCACAAAACAAACTAGCCCACCAACAAAACAAACTAGCCCACCAACAAAACAACTGGCCCACCAACAAAACAAACTAGCCCACCAACAAAACCAACTGGCCCACCAACAAAACAAACTAGCCCACCAACAAAACAACTAGCCCACCACAAAACCAACTGGCCCACCAACAAAACAAACTAGCCCACCAACAAAACAACTAGCCCACCCACAAAACCAACTGGCCCACCAACAAAACAAACTAGCCCACCAACAAAACCAACTGACCCACCCACAAAACAAACTAGCCCACCAACAAAACCAACTGACCCACCCAAAAACAAACTAGCCACCAACAAAACAACTGACCCACCCAAAAAACAACTGGCACACCCAAAACCAACTAGCCCACCCACAAAACCAACTGGCCCACCCACAAAACCAACTAGCCGACCCACAAAACCAACTGGCCCACCACAAAACCAACTAGCCACCCACAAAACCAACTGCCCACCAACAAAACCAACTGGCCCACCCACAAAACCAACTGGCCCACCAACAAAACAACTGCCCACCCACAAAACCAACTGGCCCACCCACAAAACCCACTGACTACCAACAAAATCAACCTGCCCACCAACAAAACCAACTGGCCTACCCAAAACCATCTCGACCAACCACAAAATCAACTGACCCACCTACAAAACAAACTAACCCACCCACAACACTCACTCGCCAGCCCTCAAAACCAACTGGCCCACCAACAAAAACATCTCGCCCACCCACAAAACCCACTGATCCACCAACAAAACCAACTGACCCACCCAAGAAACAAACTAGCCCACCACCAAAATCAACTGACCCACCCAAAAAAAAACAACTGGCACACCCTCAAAACCAACTGGCCCACCCACAAAACCAACTAGCCGACCCACAAAACCAGCTGGCCCACCCACAAAACCCACTGACGACCAACAAAATCAACCTGCCCACCAACAAAACCAACTGGCCTACCCAAAAAACCATCTCGCCCAACCACAAAATCAACTAGCCCAACCACAAAACCAACTGACCCAACAACAAAACCAACTAGCCCAACCACAAAACCAACTGGCCCACCAACAAAAGCTAGTTACCCGCCCACAAAACCAACTAGCCCACCAACAAAACCAACTGGCCGACCCACAAAACACAAAAGATTGTAGCTTGCCACTGTCTTATGCAGGGGTCGCCTTAAGTTTGACATACGCTCAAACACATACAAATAAATATAAATTATTTAACCTTTCGTAATGCACCAATCATATCTACTTTATACGACGAGATAATAGAAAAAATATCTTAATGTTTTAATTACACAAAAAGAAGATTTATGTTCAAAGTCAGAATTGTTAAGTACTTCAAAATTTGTATGCACAATCCTGCACAGTCTAACTTGCAGATATACATTAACCGGTTAGTTCTTTGCAAGTAAGGCAGAGTGCTTTACCTTCCTGAGCACCTAACGTATGAAATATATGTGCAAAGTTTTTATTTACAATTAAAGTACATACAAAAGAAAGTATGCTACACTGATTTGTAAAGAAAACTACTAGCCTTGTAAAAATAAAAACCTAACGATTGCTTTAAACATAATTCCCGCCCTTGACAGGGCAAATATTTAAGGATTTTTGAGGTGACCAATGATATTTCTATGTCTCTGCCCTTAGACACGCCTCTGATTCTGATATTTAAAGCACAATCAAGAACAAATCTCCGTCGGCTGGGAAGTGCAAAACAAGCTTATAATGTGTAAAAAACATTTCAAAACTTGAGGACAAATTTACACTTAAATAATCGCCTCAAACTCTAATAAAGTAGCACAACATGGGGGCGCTTGATAGCCTAGTGTTTGTGTTGTACGCCCCATGAACAGAGGCAATAGCTCTCATCACAGCGGCCGTGGGTTTGAGTCCAGCCTCGGCCCTTTGCTTCATGTCATCCCTCACTCTCTCCTCCCAGCATTTCCTGTCTTTCCTCAGCTGTCCTATGAAAAAAGGCAAAAGGCCCCAAAAAATATCATTGAAAAAATAAGGAGCACAACATGATATGAAAATGGAAAGACATAGTTTATTGTGAAAAAGTGGGATTAAATAGAAATACAATTTGTTTTGTCTAATTTCTTGTCTAATCTCCAATCTGGTTATACCGCCGTTGTTGTTTGTTGTCTCTACCGTCGTGACTCTGTCAGTTCTGTCTCGTGTCATTTGCTGCCGGTACTTATGAAAAAAAAAGAAACAGGCAGAGACCTGTGTGGTAGGAAATGCTCTTTGATTGCATGTTGAGATAACCAATCAGGTGCGTGTGCAGGAGTGACTTTGATGACCTCGTCACCATCGTCACTTACAAAGTAACTGAGGAGCCTCCTCACATGAGACAGTGTCAAGATGATGGTGCTGTGGATCACACTGCTTCTCCTCCATCAGGCGTGTGAGTGATGAAACTTAATGACTAAATACTTTCTCATGTATGTAAGAGGAAGAGGTGATTCATGGGAAGTCTAATCGTGATAATTGTTGTTGATTGTTTCAATTATTGTCTCTTGTGCTTTTATCTAGATACGCTTCCTCCGGTGACCACAGTTGGACTTGGGGAACCTGTGACTTTAACATGTGTTTCACCTGATATCAAAAACCAGAGAGTCTTCTGGTACAAGCAGAGCGCCGGGGAAAGGCTGAAATTAATGGTGACACTGATGAGTTATTCAAAACCTCTATTTGAAACAGAGTTCTCTTCTTCATTATTCGATGCTAACATTTCTGAAAATATGAGCAATCTGACCATTTTGACGACGACTCAAGAAGACGAGGGAATGTATCACTGTGCAGTCATGGAGTCTGGGTTTAAGATTAGCTGGAGTGGAACCTATGTGTCATTAAAAGGTACGTAATAACTGCATCCACTGAAAGAAACACTGTACTAATTTCTATCAACAACAGAGTTATTATTATATGGATTATGCTGATACTGTTTGTTACATTAGAACTTCTTAACATTTGCAGGAAACACTGAGAGGACAACAGAGCTGAGAGTCGTTCAGGAGCCGACAGTCTCTGATCAGCTCCGTCCAGGAGACTTGATGTCTCTGCAGTGTTCAGTCCTCTCTGACCCGGACAGTAAAACGTGTCCCGGAGGTCACAGCGTGTTGTGGTTCAGAGCCGTATCACATGAATCTCGTCCAGACATCATCTACACTGCTGGAAACAGACGTGATGGATGTGAGGAGAGATCTGCCTCTCAGAAAAGCTGTGTTCATCACTTCTCTAAGAACATCAGCTCCTCTGATGCTGGGACTTACTACTGTGCTGTGGACACATGTGGACGCCTTTTATTTGGAGATGGGACCAAAGTGGACGTTGGTATGACATCACATAAGCTCATGTAAGAAATATTTGAAAATTTGTTGTTGACATTATAACTGACCAGTGGCTATGTTTGTCTTCCAGCACAATCAACACATTTTGGATTTATCATCATGGTGATTTTAATCGTCTGCTTGGTTATTTCTACTGTTGGAAATGTTTTCCTCCTCTGCAAACAAAAAGCACGTAAACAACATGGAGGTAAGAGCTGTAAACAGATCATAAGAGATTTAAATTTATATGCCGCCTTTCAAGGGATACAAGGATATCCTGATGAACAATAGCTGCGACCAGTGGTGGACAAAGTTCACAAAGTCATGACTTGATTCAAAGTAGAGATCCTCCTTGTCTATTATTCCTCCAATACAAGGGGAAGTTGTTGCGTCAAATCATAACATGAGTTAAAGTTCTGGAGTATGTTGCTTTTAGAAATACTTCAGTATCAAACAACTTTTTAAAGACCTCTCTAAATGTTGTTGTATTTTCACGATGCATGAGCTCAGTCAGGAATACTCTGGTGTTCATTGTGCTAAGTTATGTTTCAAACACACATCTTATATTTATTTTCATCATGTTATTTCTCCTAAAAGGATTGGAGAGCGCTGTTTCAGAAGCCAGAAAAGATAATGCATCACGGCAAGAACACAACACCGTAAGAGATAACATCAAGTAGACAGGATCTTCATTTTCATGTCATTGTGTTTGTAAAACTATTTTATCTTCTGCACAGGCCGATGCTGAGAACAAATTAAACTATGCTGCTCTAAACTTTTCTGCAAGAAAACCAAGAGGAAGAAAGAAGAGAGAGTTTTCTGAGGACAGCGTGTACGCTCAGGTGAAACTCTGATGCTGTTAATAAAGTCGAGCTTAAACTCTAAACCTGCATCATGTAGATTTTATTATTTACTAAACCCACTGGCCATCTATCAAAACCCACTGGCCTTCCATCGGAACCCACGGGCCCACAATCAAAACCTACTGGTCCACCAACAAAACCTACTGGTCCACCAACAAAACCTACTGGTCCACCTACAAAACAAACTGGCGCACAAAGAAAACCAACGGGCCAACCCTCAAAGCCTACTGGCCCACCCATAAAAAACCCACTGGCCCACCAACAAAACCCACTGGCCCACCAACAAAACTCACTGGCCCACCAACAAAACTCACTGGCCCACCAACAAAACTCACTGGCCCACCAACAAAACCCACTGGCCCACCAACAAAACCCACTGGCCCACCAACAAAACTCACTGGCCCACCAACAAAACCCACTGGCCCACCAACAAAACTCACTGGCCCACCAACAAAATCTACTGGCCCACCAACAAAACCAACTGGCCCACCAACAAAACCCCCTGGCCTACCAACAAAACCAACTGGCCCATCAAGGAACCCACTGACTCACTCACAACACCATCTGGTCCTTTACATCTAGTGCTCTAATCGTTAAATTAAATGTGACCATGTTTTTGCTGTATTAGCCCCAACTCTCTGGAATCAAGTCCCACAAACCATCAGCTCTGCAGAATCTTTGGACTGTTTCAAGAAACATCTAAAAACTCAGCTGTACAGCCAAGCCTTCATGTTACTCCCAAACTCTTTCTTGTGCTTCAATTGTTTCTGTTTTTGTCTAATTCTTATTTTGCCCTGTTGGATGTTGTGATTCATTTATGTAATAATGTGCTATGTAAATAAAGTTTTGCCAACTTACTTTTGAGCCGATGAGTCGTTGCCACCAGAACAATGGTTATATAAATTGTTTTTAAAAAGTTACACACAGTCCAGCTCTGATTAAAACAACCAAACAGTAAAGAGACATTTCACACTTCACATAATGTCATGTTGGAAAATATATCCAGCTTACAAAAGAGTTTATTCATAAAAATGAAACAAGGAGCTGGGGTATCACAGCTGGAACCTACAGAGAGGATACCATCAAGGCTATCATCACAAGCAGTTTGGGAATAAGAGAGTCCCTTTTCCTTTTCAGAACCACTAAAATTCATAAAAAGAAAAATGGTTCAGTCGTCTCTGTGTAGTCAAATGGTTCCACAAAGCCAACAGTTTTCATTAAGAACAAAGAAATCTCATCATGTTTACATTTCGTTTGTCAGGTCCAGTACCTTACGTTGAATTGTACCACTTTTAAAAAGATGTCTTATATTGTGATAAATAATACATAAAGAGCAGAGGACATTTGTTTCCATCATAGTCAAAATCGTACATTCAGATTCCATTCAAATGTTTACAATAATGGAGCTCATAAGAGTAAAATGATCTATTCTTGGTCCAACCAGGCCGCTTCTGTCTGTACGTGTCAATAAATCCATTCATAGACTTTCTCCTACACCGGAGTATGTACAATCCAGCGACTGCTCCCTCGCAGCCGTCCATCTTTTAGCTTTCCTAGCTGCAAAATCCAGCGCTACGTAGTTCAGAGCCGCCTCGTCAGCATCCTGTAAAAGATCATTTTGACTTTGAGATGTTTGAGCCAGGATCATAAAATCAATAATATGAAACTGTTTACTACAAACGGTAGACGTTTAGTCAGACTAAAACTGTTACACAACTGTCACCTTTTGTTTATAATAGTGACTCTGACCATGAAGTAGAACTTATTTTAACCTGAACCACAATTTTTTTTACAGCTCTAACCAAACCTTTACCACAGCTACGTAAGATCAGATATAGGACCATGTTTAAACTCTGGAGCTGTCCTGTCCATCGAGGCATTAAATGTACGACGAACAAAGATTTCTGATGTTTAAAGTTGAAGAGCTGTTAAACTTGACTTTGACTCCTAGGTCCTCCTGTAAGCCCTCCTGTCCGCTTGAGGCTGGCTCCAGGAACCCAGGAAGTCACATACACACAACAGGAAAAAAAGCAGTTTTTACAGCATAAATTAACGTGTTTACAGCCTGGCACAAAAAAACCAATAGGTCTGATTAGTCATCACTGGCACACACTGTAAGGGGGGTCCATTTTGATTCTGAAAACAATCCATAGTTAGGCGCTTAGCTGACATGATTGACAGTTGGGCGTGATGTAATGTTCCAGCTCCAGCTCTCAGCCTGTTGTTAGGTTGACTGACAGTTAGGCTGAGACAGCATTTCCAGCACGGTTGGCTGCTGCCGATGGGACTCCAAAGCCCCCTGCAGAAACACTCAGGCTTCGTCCATTAACATTTAGTCTATGGCTAACACTGATAGTCGGACGCGACCTGAGAGCTCACACTGTGCAGGTAAAACTAGAAAGGAACATTTACTGTTGTCAATATAAACTCCCGCAGATGGAGGTTGGTTTTAGTTGTCTCATATGCACGGCACACAAAATGTGCTTTCTCTCTCTTACACACACAATCTGCATCATCGTTCAACACAAGCTAACTAGCAGCTAAACCAAAAATCCCTGTCAGCTGGAGGTCTGCAGATATTTCTGCCATTGTTTCTTTCATGATAGGAGACATATGAAAAGGACATTTCTGCTGTTGCCATGGTGATTTACGAAACCGTCCGTCAGTTTGTGCAGGTGAAATCATGGGGGAAAGTCTTAGAGTCTGGGAATCTTCTCAGTCCTATGACCAAAATATCAAAAATGTCAGAAATTCAATTGAACAGTGATTGGACGTCGTGCCTCATTGAACACTGCAGGACTGACGCCTGGTGATGAGGCTGAAATTTGGCCTAAATTCTAAATGAATTGTACGACTCAAAAATGGGGCCTAAATTGGCCTGAAAAATGGCGGGCTTTAGGGGGTTAAAACTATAGATGACTGATTATACTTAGAAGACATGCATTGAAAATTAAATGTATCTCATCTCTACAGCTGGTGTCGTTATTTTCATAAGTCCTTCTGGTTTTGGCACTCAGATTAAAAAATGCTCCCCCAACACCATCAGTGAATTTACACGTATCCACTGTGCAACAACCACCTGTTCCAACTCACGTTAAGCTGTACAATATATGAAACTTTGATTACATATACCTCGTTATTTGGTTGATCTTCAGCTGATCTGTGACGTTCGCCTTGATTGGACGCAGTTTTTTCTCCTGTTGATAAAAGCGAGAAGTGATGGCATCACAGATACATTTAATATCAAAGACTGTTTAGAAAAGTGTTTGTTCATGAGCAGAGGTGGGAGCAGTCCTTTAAGCGTTAATGTGTTAACAAAGACGTTAACTTCGATATCACTTTATTCTGTTGATTTTTATCTGAAATGAAAATAACGTTAACGTCATAGCCTGTAAATATTAAAGGATGAACCCGGGGGCGCTGGAGTCCCATCGATGGCGGTCCCATCTACCCATCATTTGTTTTTTTGAACCAGGCTGTAAACATGTTAACAGGCTTTTAGAATGGGTGTGTATGCAACTTCCTGTGCTTCTGCAGCCAGCCTCTAGTGGACACTGGAGGAACTGCAGGATTTTACACTTCAGCATATGCTTTATTTTTTTAACATTGGAGGATGTAGCTTGTGATTAACGAATGTGTGCCCAGCTCTGCTCATGATGACTTTGTTAATGTGTTGAACAACCTGAACTTACCTTTGCACTGTTTACACACGGGCCTTTGGTTTCTGTAGAAAATGAGAGCAGCCGTCACAAACACGCTGTAGGGCAGCAGTGTCCCAAACGTGATGTAAAACGGCCACGGTTCTTGTTCTGAAATGAAAAGATTTAAACCACAGGAGACAGCGCTTAACCTTAAATCGCTTTTACATGATTATAATTTATTAACAGGTGTCAACATATCAAAACTGCTAATGTTCATGCAGATCGAGCTTATTCCCTGAACCTCTTCTAGAAAAACTAAAAGCAATACTGTGCCTAGGCTGAAATCATAACTATTATTATCACGAGGAAGTCTCAAGGCTTGTTCATAAACTGTCTGAACAGAGGTATAAACAGAGGTATGAACAGAGGTATAAACAGAGGTATAAACAGAGGTATGAACAGAGGTATGAACAGAGGTATGAACAGAGGTATAAACAGAGGTATGAACAGAGGTATGAACAGAGGTATGAACAGAGGTATGAACAGAGGTATGAACAGAGGTATGAACAGAGGTATGAACAGAGGTAAACAGAGGTATAAACAGAGGTATGAACAGAGGTATGAACAGAGGTATGAACAGAGGTATGAACAGAGGTATAAACAGAGGTATGAACAGAGGTATGAACAGAGGTATGAACAGAGGTATGAACAGAGGTGCTCAGGCTTTGATGGGACAAAAAGGAGTGCAGGAAAAGGACTTTTCAACGGTCTGCTTCTGTCGCCCTTACACACACTAACAGTTGTTCTTAACCTTTGTGGCTTGTAACAGTCGGTATGAAATGTGCAGAAGAGTCGCTGCATCACAAACAGACGGCTGTTAGAAATTGAAGAAGATCTTACGGCCTGTAGAGATTTCAAAAACTGTATTTCAGCAGAATAAGGCCAAAAAAAAAACTTTGTGGGGCGCTGGTGGTGCAGTGGTTAGTGCGCGCTCCCCATGTATGGAGGCTGTCGTCTCAAGCGGGCGGCCCGGGTTCACATCCCACCTGTGGCCTCTTTCCCGCATGTCATTCCCCTCTCTCTCTCTCTCTCTCTCTCTCTCCCTGATTTCCGACTCTATCCACTCTATCTCTCCATTAAAGGCATAAAAACCTCAAAAATAAATTTAAAAAAAAACTTTAAAAAAAACTTTGTGAAAGTATCATGGAGATGTTTTTCTTGCACAGTTCCTGAAGGCAACATAACAATACATGCATGATGACTTAAATAAGAATATAAAACATACGTGTCTTCACTGTAGTTCCTTCACCAAACAGGATTTGTCCACATGTGAGCACAGCGCAGTAGTACGTCCCGGCGTCAGACGAGTTGTGTATGGTTTTGGACAGATTGTAGACACAGCTTCTCTTCTCTTCTTCTTCACTTCTGTGGCTTTGAGTGTAAATAACAGCTGGATGAGCTTCTCCTGCTGCAGCTCTGAACCAGTACACACTGTGTTCACCTGGACACTGCTCTCTGTTTTCTTTGGACTTGGAGAGAAGTGAACACTGGACTTCACTGAGCCGCCCGCCTGGACCGACTGCGCCTCCGGTCTTTGTTTCACATAGACCAGGTTCTGGTGGTTTTTATGATCTGTGTGAGTCACAGTGAA